ACAGAGACTTTATCTGATTATGTTTGCCAAGATAAGCAGACTTGTAGACATTCGAAGACAGAGCGATATTAGTGATATTTCCTTGTGTTTCCTAGCCTGAGACTCAGCTGCTGAGTCAGCTCTGCAGCTTTTGCTGAGGTGGCCACGCCTAAAATCTTAGCTCTCCTGAGGAGGCTGAGGCAGGAGGATCTCATGTTTGAGTCCAGCCTGGATCTCTTAAGCAGACCCCATCTCAGAATTTTAAAAATAAGAACATCTGGGTGCACAGGTTGGTACCCCAGGCTCAGTCCCCCCCACCCCATCTTTTCTGGCTGTGAAGATGCTCATTTCCTTTTTATTTTTATTTCTTTCTCTATTTAGTATCACAAAGGTTGAATGCCATGTGTTTTGTTTAGTCCACAGAGGCACTAAGTGTGGATTCAGAACCAATGGGCGTAATAAAAACAAAACACACAATCTCTGCCTTTGGTCATAGCAACAGGTACCTCGGGGAGCATTTTCACATTTCAGGCTCTAGTTTAAGTATCTACTAGATGAAAGTAGGAGTTTTCTGTAGAGCTCCCAATATTCCTGTTAGGATTCAAAGTAATTATTTATGTAGTTTTTCATTCAGTACACTAGGAATCAAAGATCTTAGATGTTAAGAAGTGGGGAGTTGGCCAGGCATGGGTGATGCACTCCTATAATCCCAGCAATCTGGGAGGCTGAGGCAGGAGGATTGCAAGTACAGGCCCAGTCTGGATAACTTAGGGAGCCCTTGGCTTAAAAAAAATAGAAAGAGAGGACTCAGATTCAAGTCTTTGCAATTCTAAAGCCTGAATATTTAACTACTACATCAAACTGTACTTGAGGGAATCATAGTCTAGTTTGGAAAATGTGAGATCAAGTATTAAGACTTTTTTCCCTAGCTTTTTAAATATTTGTCAATGTACTAAACATATGTGACTTACTATTTTTCTTTTTTCCATCTGTGAACACTTTCAAGAAAGATAAGGGAAAACAATATGGGGTAGGGGAAAGAGCATGGGCTTTAGAATCACGGGCCTGTCTGAAGCCCAGCCCTGATGTTCCAGCTAAGTGATCATGGACATGTTACTGAGTTTTGTACAGAAGCACTCACCATTTATTCAGGGCTAGGGACTTAATAAAATGTGAAACAAATATTTTAAATACATTATCTTATTCAGTGCATTCCATTTAACATCTCATTATTAATAATACTATGAAAAATACTATAACATGAATGGATAAAATGAAGCTTAAGGAAGTTAAATTAATTTCCAAAATTATACAGCTGACAGAGTCAAAATTCAAGCCTGGCCTATCTCAAAACTCATGTGTTTTCACTATACGGTATCATCTTTCACCATGTCATACAGTTTCATGATCTGTAAAATGAGAATTGCCACATAAGGTTAAAAGAATTGAATCAATAATTAAATTTCTTTTTCAAAAATAAAACACCAGAATTCAGTTCAAAATGAATTTTACCAGAATTATCAGAGACGGATTATTTAAATCTTTTTTTTCTTTTTTCTTTTTGATACCAGGGCTCAAACTCTGAACCTTGCACTTGCGAGGCAGGAGGGGTGCCACTGGGCTAAATCCCTGGGCCTTGTCTGCTTTTTGACACAGGGTCCCACTATTTATGTAGTTCTGGCTGGCCTTGAAGTCGCTCTGTAGCCCAGGTTGGCCTCAAGCTCTTAGGGATCCCCTTGCCTTAACCTTCTGAGGCTGGGATTATTATAGGCACGCATCACCATGCCTGCAGATTTAAAAACAATTTTTTTTAAAGAGCTGAGGGTCTAGTTCAGTTGTAGTGCACTTGCCCAGCATGTGCAAGCTCTGGATTCAATTCCTAGTACTGAAAAAAAAAAATCTATTTTATACCAGTGTAGAGCCACTAGCAAAAATAAGAAAATCTAATTTAAAGAGTTAACAGAGGCTTCACCCATAAGGAGACTGTAATCAAAAAGTTGGGTATGATAAGCACGGAGGAGGATTATGAAGAAACTAGAACCCTCATCCATTGCTGGCAGGAATATAAACTGGCAAAGCTGCTCTGAAATGCGGCTTGAAGTTCCTCAGAAAGCAGTTCAACTTCTAGGCATACGTGCAAGAGAAAAGGTGACGCAGAGCCACACAAAGCCTGTGCACCAATGCTCATAGCAGCAGATCTGTAACAGCCCGAAGCCTGAGACCACCTGGCGCATGGATAAGCAAAATCCAGTCTGTTCTTATAATGGAACGCTAAGCTACAAAGAAGAATAAAATATAGACGCTTGCTTAACATTATGCTAAGTAAAGCTGGATGGACATAAAGGACCGCATATTGTCTGGTTCCACTTTCCTGCTGAAATGCTCCAAATATGCCAATCAAAGAGACAGGAAGGAGAGTAGTGGTTGTTAACAGGTGGGGAGGACTGGGGAAGTGGGCAGTTACTATATAATAGCAGATACATTTTTAACATAATTTTTTTTTTTGGTATGGGGGATCGAACTCAGGTCCTTGTGCTTGCGAGGCAGGCAGCAGAACCATTGAACTGAATCCGTAGCCCTTAACACAACTGTTAATCAGGAATTTTGGGAGGAAAATCTACTGAATGCTTTTTTTTTTTTAAACACAGAGTCACACTGTGTAGTCCAGTGATCCTCTTGCCTCAGCCTCCAAAGTGCTGGGATTACAGGGGTATCCCACCACACCTGGTGTAAACACCAGCATTTTAAATCACTGTAAAAATGCCTGCTCTCTAAAATATCTCAGTGGGGTTTTTTTGTTGCTGTTAACAGGTAATGGCACACATATATTACAAGAGGCAGAAGTGCACTATATTTCTCGGAAATCTTGTAACTCGGAGAGGAGTTACGCAGGAGTGATTCCTAACACTTCATTTTGTGCAGGTGATGAAAATGGAGACTTTGATACTTGCAGGGTAAGACCAAGTAAATTTCCTTAAAGATCTTTTCCAAAGCCAGAAGAGAACTTGAATAAGAACTTTGATTACTTTCTGATGATCTTAGTTATCAGGACTAAATATACCAAATTCTGTCTTTCTCTCTCTCTCTTTAAACAATCATCCAACTCTCCATTCCTGGTTCTTTGGTTTTTACCTTCATGAGGGTCAAACTTGGGCATGACGTCCCTTGAATTTTTCTTTCCTTTTATTTAAATCATCTTTAAGATATAATGCACTCATCTGCAGTATAGAATTCAATATTTTTTTAGTATATTTGTGGCCTTGGGCAGCAATCACCACAATCTAATTTTAGGACATTTTTGTTCACCTCACAAAGAAACCCATACCTAACAGAAATCACTCCTCCCTCTTCTGTCACCTAGCCCTAGCCAACCCCTAATCTCTGTGGAATTGCATATTCTGAACACGTACTGTTCTGGACATTTCTGGAATAATTCAATATGTGGTCTTTTGTAACTGGCTTCTTTTACTTAGTATGCTTTCAAGGTTGATCTGTGTCATAGAATGTGTAAGTACTTTATTCATTTTATTACCATCTCCTCCATCACTGTATGATAGATCACATTTTATTCATCAACTCAAGTGATGGTCATTTGGGCTGTTTTCATTCTGTATGTATCATAAATAACAGAGCTGTGAACATTTGTGGGTTTTTGTTTTGTTTTGTTTTGTTTCGTTTCTTTTCCAGTACCAGGGATCCAACTCAGGACCTGAGCTCACAAGGCAGGTGCAGCACCACGGAGCTAAACCCCCGGCCCTTGTGTTGGTTTTTATGTGTCAATATCTTCGTTGCTCTGAGAAATTCCACCTAAGGATGGAATTACTGGGTCAGTGCTGAAGTTTGGTGAACTGCCAAATGTATTCCAAAGTGGGGACACCACCTCCTATCCCACAAGCAATGGCTGAGGGTTGCAGTTTCCCTCATCCTGTTGGTACTTGCTATCTTTGTCTTTGGGATTACAGCCGCCCTTGTATATGTGGAGCGGTGTCTCACTGCAGCTTTATTTGTATTATGCAGTGACTAATGATGAGCGTCTTTGTATTTACTTATTAGTCGTGCATATCTGCCTTAGAGAATGTCTCTTTGGATCCTTTCTCCATCCATTTTAAGATTATCTTTTTTATCATTGAGATATAAACAGTTTTGTAAATTTATTCTGGATACATGTCCTTTACTAGATATATGTTGTGCAAGTATTTTTTCTCATTTTGTAGAATGCCTTTTCACTTTTCTTTTTTTTTTTTTTTTTTTTTGGTACCGGGGATTGAACCCTGGACCTTGTGCTTGTGAGACAGGCGACAGAACCACTGAGCTAAGTCCCTGGCCCGCCCCGGCCCTTTTCTGATGTTATTTGTAGCATAAAAATTTTAAATTTGTAAAGGAAATTAAACTTTTTGTTCTTGTCTTTTGATCTTTTCTTTGCTCCCGTGCTGGGGAATGAACCCAGGGCTTCACACACGCTAAGCAAGCCCCGGACCACTGAGCTACGTCCTAGCCTTTCAATTTCAGGGGTACTACATGCTGTCATGTTTTCCTACTCATTCCTAGTTCTGCAGTCTAAGGTTTATCCTTCCTGTGTCCTTTGCCTTAAAAATCTAGATGAGTGAAATAGTAAAGAATACAATCTAATTGAATTGCATTTCTAGGCAAAATATCATTACCATCAAAACATAATTATTCAACATCTGCCCTTCGCAGAGAACCCTAAGCACTCAGGAACACTCCTTAACCTTTAGGAACTGACAGTTATCTCAGTGTATTTGTTGCTGCGAAGGCATTATTAACAATCGTTAGGAACAGTTTTGGGTACGTTTTCTTAAACGATGAAGGAGACTTATTTATAATACTATCTGGGGTCATCCCAGTTTATTCTCATTTGCCTGTACTAGCCAATGTCAACACTTAAAAAGAGGACATCTTTTGCAAGATACTAATTTGCTCACCTCCTCTAGCTAGCAAACCTTGTGTACACACACTTGGCAGAATCTTTCATACATCTTAAATTATGCCTTTCACACAATGCTCAGAGAAATAATCTAATGAGCAGTTTTTACAATATTTTGCACACTTCTTAAATTATATTTCTTCTAATTATATTTTAAAAATCCAAGCAGTTTCATTTATAGTATTCTCATTGCCCTAGTACCAAAAAAAACCAAAACAAATATAGTATTCTCGTTCAAAAGTGCAGATGAGTTTATATACTAGTTGTGTGGTGCTCCCAGTACCTGGACACATTCAGTACCTCCTAAATTGGAACATTAAACTAAAAACATACTGGTCACTCCACACAAGATGCTAATTAATGTGCTAAGAGGGGCTACTACAACTTGGATGCCCTGGGTGCCTCTCTGCTGCAACACTAGACCCTGTACTTCCTCTTTCTCTCTGCACGCCGTTATTTTGTTTTGCTGTTTTGAGCAGCACTGGGGATTGAACTCGGGCCTTCACACTGAGCTACAGTACTGGCCGCCGGCCCGCCTGCCGTCCTTCGCTGTCTTCTTCCTCCCCTCTCCTCCTCCCTTCTCCTCCCTTCTTTTCTCCTCTGCATTTTGAGACAGACACTTGCTAAATTGCCTAGGCAGTACTCAATTTGGCAAGTACCTCAGCCTCTCAGAGTGCTAGGACAACAGGTAATTCCATTATTAAAGTCTATCCAGGCATGGTTGTGCACGCCTGTAATCCCAGCACTCCGGAGGCTGAGTCAGGAGGATCGCTGTGAGTTCAAGACCAGCCTGGGCTACACAGTGAGTTCCAGGTCAGACTCAACTACATAGTGAGACCCTGTCTCAAAACAAACAAACAAACAAAAAGTCTAGCTAGCTATTGTCTAAAAAACTTTTTTTTATTATTTGGAGGTATACTGAAAATAAATGTTTATATAAAGATAGATTTAATATCATTAATTTATCTCAGTTCTATTGTGCTTAAGAAATGCTAAAAGTAACTAATAGTATTTTGGTACTTTTTGGTAGGGTGATAGTGGTGGACCATTAATGTGCTACTTACCAGAACATAAACGTTTTTTTGTAATGGGAATTACCAGTTATGGATTTGGCTGTGGTCGAAGATATTTTCCTGGTATCTACAGCGGGCCATCGTTCTACCAAAAGTGGCTGACAGATCATTTCTCCCAGGCAAAAGCTGAAGGCATATTTGATGTAGGTATTTTACGTGGACAGATCCTCATGGCTTTAGGTTTTATCATCTTACTAGCAACAACATAAAGAAATTCTGAAGACAAATTCATTTTGTATTGTGTCCTCTTTTATATTACACAAAATGAAAGCCATTTCTTCGTTTAGCAATTAATTACATTAGAGTTCTCATGTGAACATTTTTTTTGGGGGGAGGACTGTGACATTAGACATACAGTTGTAAATCTGGCACCAAATCACATCCTTGGTAGAATTGGATTGTTTTGTGTTATAATCATAATTTTGTATTTGGAATACTTTCCTATGTATAAAATACTCAATTAAATATGTACTCTATGTGTATAAATATCAAATAATAAAGAGTTTAAAATGAAACGGTTCTTTGGTTAAATAAATCAAAATTATTTTATTATAATTTATGATCTATAATTTTTCAAAATTACGGTCTTGTTTCTGGTTCCTCAAGGATATTTGCAGAAACAAGTGTTTATCATTTAAATTATAGTTAAAGGAATTTATTTAATGTGAATATTTCATTACTTATGATAAGACAGAACTATAGTGCAGACATCTCTCAATCATTTACTATTTTTATTCAGGAATTTATAAGGTGACTTTTTTTTTTAAATTGAAAAAAAAATATTGTTTTATTTATTTTGGCTTTTGAGCCAGGGTCTCACTATGTAGTTCAGGCAGGCCTTGAACTCACTATGTAGCTCAGGCTGGCCTGGGACTCATAGCGATCCTCCTGCCTCAGCCTCCCAAGGGCTGGGATTACAGGTGTGCACTACCACGCCAAGCGACTTTTTAAAATAACCTACACTTTAAATTTTCTTTTTCTAAAGTCCATGTTAAGGGCTGGGGATTTAGCTCAGTGGTTTGGTGGCCTGCCTCACAAGCACAAGGACCTGAGTTCAATCCCCAGTACCAAAAAATAAATAAATAAATAAAGTCCATGTTAAAAGTTAGTATTCTGTGGACCCTTTGGTTTAACTGGAAAAAGGGGATCCAAAGCATGTGTAAAAGATGGAAGCCAACCTGGGGTACATTTTATGATGGTTAATTCATAAAATGCATTACTGAAATAAAAGCAAAGGTTGATGATTGAATTGCTATTTAGCGCTTGTCTAGCACGCCTGAGGCCAAGGGTTCACTCCAGAACACGTGGCATGTGCTTCCACGTTTTCTTTGTGTACTTATCTGTGGATGGGCATACAGGCCACTTCTGTAATTCAGCTATTGTAAACTGTGCTGCTACAACCATGGGTGTGCATGTATTACTATAATATGATGGCTTTAATGCTTTCAAGATCATATCCAGTATAGCTAGATCAAATGGAATTTCTAATTTTAGTTTTTTGAAGAGTCTTCCATACTGCTTTTCAAAGTGGCTTACTAGTGCACATTCCCACCAACAATGTAAAAGGGTTCCTTTTTTCACAGCTTCACCAGCATTTGTTGTTGAGGCCTTGATAGTACCCATTCTCCCTGGAGTAAGATGTCCAAGTACGAGGCACTAACCAATTGCACCACTGAAGTTCCTTTACCAGAGTAAGGTGTAAGTGCAGTGTTGCTGTTCTTCTTCTGTTTTTTTGAGGCAAGGTCTCCCTTTGTAGTTCAGGCTGGCCCTGAACTATGTAGCCCAGGCTGGCCTTGAAGTCAAGGTGATCCTCCTGCCTCAGCCTCCCAAGTGCTGGGATCACAGGTGTGCACCACCATGTCTGGCTGCACAGCACTGTTTTATGTTTCTCTAACGACCAAAGATGCTGAACATTTTTTACATGTACTTATTGGCTGTTTATGCTTATTTCTGAGAAGTGTCTATTCATTTTAATTGCCTATTTTTTGATTGAGTCGACTTTTTTTTATTTCTTTATACATTCTAGATATCAAGGAGTGGCTGGCAAAATTTTTCCCCTATTCCACGAAACTTCACTCTGTTGTTTCCCTTTTTTGTGTGCAAGCTTTTTATTTTTATTTTTATTTTTTGGTTTTTTGAGACAGGGACTCACTATGTAGTTGAGACTGACCTGGAACTCCCTATGTAGCCCAGGCTGGTCTCGAACTCACAGCGATCCTCCTGCCTCAGCCTCCTGAGTGCTGGGACTACAGGCGTGTGCCACCACACCCGGCATGCACAAGCTTTTTAATTTGATATGATTTCATTTGTTGGTTCTTGGTATTATTTCTTATGCACCTGGGGTTCTGTTCTGAAAGGGGAAGACAATCTCAAAGACAACCTCACGTTATTTCTTTAGGCACTAGAAAAACAACAGGGCCAGGGATGTAGCTCAGTGGCACAGCACCTGCCTGGCAAGTGCAAGGTTCTGAGTTCAATCCCTAGTACCGAAAAACAAAACAAAACAAAATAAATAAAAATAAAAAAGAGAGAGAAAAACAACAACAAATTAAGCCCAAACTTATCAGAAGGAAGGAAATAAAGATCATAACAGAAGGGCCAGAGATTTAGCTCAGTGGTTTTACCTCGTGCCTTACAAGCACAAGGGCCTGAGTTTGATCCCTGGCCCTTCAAATTTCAAATAAAAAAAAATCATAAGAGAAATATGTTGGCAACCATCCTATGTAATTTTTGGGAAAAATCATTTCACAATTAAATTATGATTAGGGCTCTCTGAGGCCTCAAGGGTCCCATGATGCTCTGATGCTCCAGGGCAAGATTACATCAGCTGAAGACATCCTGGGAGAGGCCCAATTAAGTAAAATAAATCCTTATGATAATTTGTAATTATAATTAATACCACAGAAATTCAAAGGATCACAAACAACTACTATGTATAATTATACGCCAACAAATGAGATCAACCAGAAAAATCAGATAAATTCTTAGACAAATACGATTTTCCAAGAATGAATCATGAAGAAACAGAAAATCTGACCGGACAAATAATGAGTGAAAAGACTGAATCAGTAATCAAAAGTCTTCCATCAAAGCAAAACCCAGGCAGCAATGTTCTACTAACCATTTAAAGAAGAAATAATACCCATCCTTTTCATGCTCTTCTAGAAAATCAAGGAGAAAATTACTTTCAAATTCTCTCTTTTTTTGAGAACAGCACTACCCTGATGACAAAATTAGATAAAGACATTACAAGAAAAGAAAATCACATGCCCACGTCCTTGATGAACACAGATGCCAAAAAGCCTAAAAAAGTTTAAAAAAAAAAATGCCAGCAAGGGCGGGGGATTTAGCTCAATGGTTCCACCGCCTGCCTGCCTGCCTGGCAAGCACAAGGGCCCCCCGTTCAATCCCTAGTACCAAAAACAAACAAACAAAAAACAACCAAAAATGTTAGCAAAATAAATTCAGTAAAGGGCTTTAGAGGGCTGTGGATGTTACTTGGTGGTAGAGCCGTCTACCTGACCCTGGGTTTAATCCCTAGCACCAACAACAGAGCACTGTAAAAAGGTATTAACACGATCAAGTAAGATTTATCTCTGAGGTGCAAGGATTGACAAAATTCAACATCCTTTCATGATTAAAGGAATCGTGGCTGGGTCCAGGTACAGCTCAGTGGCACTGTGCCTGTGTGGCAAGTGCAAGTTTGGTCTACCATACTGGAAAAAAAATCCATGGTTTTTACCAAATTATGCAGCAAGGCAGTATACCTCAACACAGTGAAGTCCATTAATGAGGCTTTCACAGCTACCGTTATACTCAGCTGTGAAAAGTTAAGTCTTTCCTCTGATACAGCACAATACAAGGATGCCCACTCTTGCTACTTTTATTCATCATGGTATTGGAAGTCATTGCTGAAGCAGTTAAGCAGGAAAAATAAATAGAAAACATCCAAATAAGAAAAGAAGAAGAATATGCCGGGCGAGGTGGCACACGCCTATAATCCCAGCACTTGGGAGGCTGAGGCAGGAGGACTGCCATGAATTTGAGGCCAGCCTGGGCTACACAGCAAGGCCTTGTCTCAAAAACCCAAAAAGAAATGAAAAAAAAAATCTGTTTGTTGATGACATGGTCTTATACATAGAAAACCCTACAAACTCCACCAAAAACAAACAAACAAACAAACAAACAAAACAAAGCAAAACAAAAGCTGCATGAATAAAGTCGTGGGCACAAAAATCAGCATGCAAAGTCAGCAGCATTTCTATATCACATTATTTGAAAATAAATCAGGAGAAGAAATGCATTTACAACAGCTACAAAAGTAGGACTAAACTTAACCAAGGAGCAAAAAGCCTTTACAGTAAAAGCTATAAAATAACGATTAGGTGACTGGTACGTAGCTCAGGGCAGACTCCTTGCCTAACCTGTGTGAGGCCCTGGATTCAATCTCCAGAATGAAGAAGGCAGAGACAAAGGAAAAGGAGAGGAGGAAAGAAAAGGGAAGAAGAGGAGGAACCAGAAGAGGATGGACAGGACAGAGAGGAAGAATAGGAGGAACAGGTGGAAGAGGAGGAGGAAGAAAAATAAAAGGAAAGACGAGAAAAAGAGGAGGAAGAGGCAGAAGGAAGAAAAGGAAAAAGAACAGAGTTAGAAAAAGGAAAAGGGAAAAGCAGGAGGAGGAAGAGGAGGAGCACGATGAAGAGGAAAAGGGGCCGAAGGGGAAACAAACTAGACACAAATAAACGAAATATTCTGTTTGTTTGTTTTGTTTTTTGAGACAGGGTCTCACTATGTAGTTGAGACTGACCTGGAACTCACTATGTAGCCCAGGCTGGTCTCGAACTCACAGCAATCCTCCTGCCTCAGCCTCCTGATTGCTGGGATTACAGGTGTGCACCACCATGCCGGGCTAAATGAAATATTCCGTGTTCATCAATTAGAAGCATTAATGTTATTTAAATGTCCAAACTACCCAAAGAAACCTACATGTTTGATGCATTCTCTACTAAAATTCCAGTATCATTTTTTTTCTCTCATTGAGTTTATTGGTTCATTTTAGATATACAGTACAGTTACATTCATTATTGGGATCTTGTACCTCTACATGACAGGACCTGGTTCTCATTTTTCCCCTTGTCCCTGCCCTCCCTTCAACCCCTCCTCCCCTCCCCATTTACAAACACTTTATTTCCATTTTTTCATTTTCTCATATATTTTTCCCTTATTACTTTTCCCCTACCCGTCCCACTTTCCCTACACCTTTATCAGTATCATTTTTCACACAATGAGGAAAACCAATCCAAAAATTCATACGGAGCCACAAAATACCCAAATAGCCAAATAATGAACAAAAAAGAACAAATCCAGAGGCTTCACATTACCTGATTTCAAACTACCACAATACTATGGCAAGTTAAAGCAGGATGATACAGAAAAAAAAAAACCAAAAAACAAGACATTTAATCAGTGGAATAGAGAGCTCAGAAATGAAATGGAA